TGTAGGCCTCGGATTTGATATAATGGCATAATCAATTGTGGAACATCAGGAGGAGAGGAAATAGCTTCCAAAATTTCTAAATCTCTTTCCAATTGTATTAGAATTTAAATTTGAGAGTTTTAGCATGTAATTTTTTTATTTTTTATTTTTTGTAATAAACGGATTGAATTTATCAAAAAAAAAATTAATATAGTAAATTTACAACATTTTAATAAAAGAGATTCAGACCCTTTTGCTCAAAGTATTCATTATCATACAATTTTCTTGATCCAAAATCAAGAAGAATGGTTAAAACAAATTTAAAAGTTTTAAAGATTAAGTATCAGTTTGAATGGGTAAATCTCTTTCACTCAACATACAAATTATCAAGAGGCTTTAAATGAAGTAGGAAAATTAAGAAATCTTTACAAATTAACAAATTTTCAACATGTAGCAATTTAAAATCATACATTCTACAACAATTAGAAGTATAAAACTTGGAGACTATAAAATTTGGAGATATTATTGGAAAGATACAGATATCATAAGAAATAAAACCCTTAAGCCAAGGGGTTGGGCTAGGGGCCTGAGGCCCCAGGCCCCCCCTAAAATATTAAAAATTTTCTTTAAGTTTAACTATAAAATGACAAATTACAGTATATATGTTAATTATTAGGTAAAAAGGACAAATCTAAACTTATTTGTCAATTGCTTCATAATTTATTCCCTAAACCCACCATTTTTTCTTCCAATTCAAAATATAACTTGATTGTTCTAACACTTTCTCATTTAATCAAGTTATTCTTTTTCAATGATGATGATGGATTATATTAAAAGAAATTAGTTTTTTTTTCTCAAATTCTTTTTTATTTGACTCAAAATTAAAACATAAAATCTCTAATTTAAAACTTCAGACTTTTAACAACTAAATCACCTCTTAGATTTCTTTCTTTTGCAATTACTAATTATTGTAATTGCTAATTATTTTTTACTTTGGACTTTTAATTAGTGGTTTTTTTACTTTTAATTCATTATTGGATACAATCACATGCAATCACTCCTCATATTCCCTCCAAATCTCAACTTGTAGATATATTATCAAAGGCTTTTTTACATCAATTTTGATGATGAGTTATAAATAAGAAATAACTTTTTTTTTCTCAAATCACTATTTAAAACTCAAAGTTGAAATTTTTAATTTAAAATCTTAAATTTTCAATTAGTTTACACCTACCCAATCAAAGCGAATAATTCTCATCCGTCCAACTTTAATTATTATACTTTTTATTTAAAGTCGTTTTAAATTAGCTGCCCTATATTTCTCTTTCTTTTTCTTTTTTTTTTTATGGTGAGTTGCCCTATATTCTAATTATATGCATTGTATAAAGCTCTAATTCTTATTTTATTTTTATTTAAAAAATAATTACAATATATGTACACAAGAATAAATAAAAATTTTTATCACTTAATTACTACATTCTTATTTTATTGAATAAAAAAATTGGGTTAATTAAAATTGAAAAGATGTTGAAAAAAAAAATAAACTGCAAAATTTTCTT